AATCAAGTACAAGTCTTCAAAATAACGAGTCGACACAGTTTTGCCAGTCCCAGCGACCGTCCAAGCCAGAGACGTCCATCTTGGTCCAGTTTTTTCGGAGCGGTCCAAACAGGTCGATGGCGATAACTTCAAACCGTTGAGACTGCACCGGAGTTTGGAACAATCCTGCCGGCTTCAGATTAGTGGCTTTAAATCGTTGGCATTCGATGCATCGACCAACATATTCTGCGATAGACTTCCTCATTCCGGGCCAATAGAACCTTCGGGAAATTCTCTGAAGTGTTCGTTCTATCCCATAGTGGCCCGCAGTAGGAGAGTCGTGATACTCGTGAAGAATGTCTGTTATTTGAGAAGTGCCAATCACCAATTGAGGTTCTTCTTCGTCAGTATCAGGATTATATCTGTAAAGGATACCATTTGACATGAGGTAACCTCGGTCTGCCCATTTCTTGAAATCAACGCTAGTTGGGATTGCCTCTAGTCCAAGGACAATTTTCTGGACATCGGGGTCGGCCATCTGTTGCTCTCTGATATCCTTTGCTGAAGTCGTGGGAAGTTCCACGCTAACTAGGTTGCTGGTTGGTTCAGCTTGCTCCCGGGGTGGTCTCGATAAGGTATCGGCCACTACGTTTTTCTTCCTACTGACGTAATCAATACGAAGGTCTTGGGCTTGCAGACTCACAGCCCATCGCGCTAGGCGGCCAGTCGGGCTCTTGAGAGAAAGCAGCCACTTTAATGGTTGGTGGTCACTCTGGACGGTAACCGTAGAGTTTTCGATGCAGCCTCTAAATTTCTGGACAGACCATACTACTGCACGAGCCTCGCGTTCTGTAGTGCTGTAGTTTTGTTCTGCCGGGGTCAGCAGTCTGGAGGCGTACTCCACTGGGCGTTCATCGTCGCCCTCCCCCTGGAGTAAACATGCTCATAACGCGTAGCTACTTGCGTCAGTCCTAAGAACATATGGGAGTCGAGGGTCGGCTTGACGTAATATTGGGGCCGTGCTCAGCAGTGTCTTCAACTTCTGGAAAGCTGTGGCTTGCGGCTCATCCGATTCCCACTTCGCATTTTTCTTTGTCAAAGAGGTGAGGGGCTTGGCAACTTGGGCGAAACCCTCGATGACACGACGGAACCAGGAACAGGTCTGAAGAAAACTGAGAAGATGCTTTACATTAGTTGGTGCAGACATGTCCATTATTCCGGCTACTTTGGCATTATCGGGGTGAATGCCTTGCGGCGATATAATATGTCCAAGGTATTTGATTGAGTCGAGGCAAAAGTGGCACTTGGCACGATTCAGTTTTAGCTTGAACAAGCTAAGTCGTGTGAAAACTCTTTCCAGGTATCTGAGATGTTGTGAAAAGGTGGGCGACATAACAATCAAATCGTCTAAATAGACTAGGAGGGCTACATCGATCAGTCCGGATCGGAAACGGTCCATTAATCTTTGAAAGGTTGAGGGGGTTGTTACAAGTCCGAACGGCATCCTCGTATACCTGTACGTGGCGAAGGGCGTGACGAAAGCCGTTTTGTCTCGATCGGTTGGTTTGACATTGACCTGATGGTATCCACTTTTGAGATCTAGAGTAGTCATGTAGTTCGTTTCCCTAGCCTCATGTAGAAGATCATCGATCCGAGGAAGTGGATAGCGATATGCTCGAGTGATAGCGTTTAATCTCCTATAGTCTACGGTAAGTCTTACTTTTCCATCCTTTTTGGGAACAAGTACAACAGGGGCTGCATACGGCGACTCGCACTCTTCGATGGTTCCATTTTCGAGGAGTACATCAAGCTCCTTGCGTAGTAGCTCCTTCTTTCCAGCTGACATTCTATACGGCGGTACAGCTATTGGAGAGTCATCCTGTAAGACGATCGTGTGTTCTGCAAACGGGGTAGGCTCAAGGCTTGGCTCGAAAACCGTGGCGTTGTCCGTGAGTAACGAGTCCAATTGTTGCCTCTCTTCGGGTTGCAGTTTTACAGCCTCATCCTTGCGCAAAGCGTTGGAGAGTGAAACCACATTGATAGCAGTTGTGGTGACGTCATCTTCTGAGATACAACTGTAGGTAATATTACTGCAATCTGCAAATTGGAAAGAATTATTGTTGAGGTCGAGGACAAGTTTCATTGCGCTAATAAATTCCGCTCCCAAAAGGGTGCGACTGTTGACATGCTCTGGTATAGCTACCAATTGTACATGAGTTGTCCTATCGTAAAGAGATACTGGGATATTGTAGATTAATGCTTGGACCTTTCTCTTCACTCCATCCGCAAGAACCATGTCTAGATCCTTTGCCTCTGTGTAGGGGACTTCGTCTTCGATGAGTATCTGAGCCAATCTACTTCCAGCTATGTTAGTAGTAGCTCCGGTGTCTAGAAAAGCATATCCAGTATGTCCTAGAATTGTAATGGGTACTACTGGACGTGCGCAGTTGTCATTTAAAAAGGAACTGCACAGGAACTCGGCTGCTGCGAGCGAACTTCTTGGCGGACCATTCCGGTTGCTATTTGAACATTTGGGGCAGTTACTCCTGATTACGCCTGGTGCGCCGCATCCGTAACAAGTTATGCTGGGGTTACTGGATGGTTGAGTACCCGCTGAAGTGCCTGCTCTAAAGGTAGCTTGATTGGGGGTCTGTTGAGTGTGTGTGGTAATATTTCCGTTTCGCCTTTCTTGGTAATTTTTAAGCTTACGGCATTTCTCCTTCTCATGACCTGGATTCTTGCAGTAAGTGCATCGAACAAATTTATCTTTAGTAGCCAGGGAACGGTTGTCTTCTTGCCGGTACACGGGTGCTTCAAAAGTTTCCTCTGCCAATCGAGCTTGGGTCAGCAATTCTTCGAAAGAAGATACCTTGTCACGAGGTACCTTTCCTCTTACGCGCCTATGCAATAGGCCATAAATCATATTGATATGAGTGGCTTCTGTCAACGTATCATTGGGCAGTTGGGCCAAAACGGCACGAGCCTTGCATATAAATATGTCGGACTTCATCTTGATGTCTTGCTCGTGAGCAAAAAGTTCTCGGTAAACTCGGTAGGGAGGCTTGGACGGACCAAAAGTAGTTCTCAATAGTATAAGGGCTCTGTTCCAGTCTGTCAGGCTTGACTTAACTCCTTGGAACCAGGTCGCTGCAAATCCATCTAGGAGCATCGGTAAACCTCGTAGAGCGTTTTGGTCGGAAATGTTTGTGCAATCTTTATACACTCCAATGGCGTCTATAAACGCATTTACATCAGAATCTTTGGCACCATCGAAACGGGTGCTGCATTTCGAGAAGTTTCCAGTTTGCATTGGTACAGGCGAAGTGCTTGGTTGTACTGACAAACGTGATAAAAGGGCTGCGAATTGCTCATCTGTCATTGTGACACTCATAGTGGGGTTGTTGGCCTGTGCAGTGCCGGACAGTTTTGATGATCGTAGCAAATATGGGCTTCTTTGAGAGTCAATTTTGGTCGAATGCTCCAGAATTAACTTAGGTATTTAGTAGAAGAAAGCTACAGCTACTTACAGTTGTGTTTTGTCTTCTTGGTAATCCAATCAATTGCAATGAATGCAATGCTTATTGGGGCGAATTGCTTTACACGTGCAAAAGCCTGAAGACTTAGGTTAAGTTTTGGTTACCTTCAAAATTGCAAGATCCGGAGTACGGTGCGAATTTTGCGGTGATCTAGCTGTGTTTTGTCTCCTTGGTAATCCAGTAGAATGCAATGAATGCGATACTTGTTGGGGCGAATTGCTTTACACGTGCACTAAAAACATGGCGTATTCTCGATGCCTACACTTGGGCGCCAGTTATAATGGGAGCCTGCGCTTGCATGCTCTCATTCGGTTCGTGGGTTTGTCACCGAGGAATACTAATGGTGTTTTCAGTACTGCGTTTCACTTTATTAAGCTTTTATTCGGACTTCACCGTTTCAACACACATTTGGAACTCTCTACTCACTATTCATTGTCCAAGATGGACGAACATAATGACAAGGGCGGTGTTGCCGATACAATAATGAATTCAAACGCACTCTACCGTTACATGCATGAATTGATTGTTTTTTCTCTAGAAATCAGTGTATATCTCCAATTTATCAGTTATTAACTGCTTTGCGGTACTATGCTACGGGTAGCCATTTAGACAGCATTGCAGATTACACGGGGATGCATTCGACAACTGCTGTTAGAATTATTCCTAAGGTTTCAAGAGCTATTGCCAGCTTGTACAGCAGGTTTGTTAAATTGCCAGTTACTGAAGACGAAAGGTCGAAAGCAATGCGTAATTTTTACGATATTGCACGA